ATTAATTCTTTGAAAATCTTAGGACGGGGCCACAATAGGGAATCCAAAGTTTTACTTTGAAATATGTAGAAAAATCTTTAAAAATCTTCTCAAGAACCACTGGGCTAGAAAAGCTGAAACTTATGTGGAAGCATTCTGGGATAGTGTATATTCTGAATTGTTTAAATCAAGACCCTTGGGGGTAGGGCGGGGCCACAATAGGGAATCCAATTCTTACATTAAAATATAGGAAAAATCTTTAAAAATCTTCTTCTCATGAACCACTAGGCCAGAAAAGCTGAAACTTATGTGGAAGCATCCTGGGGAAGTGCAGATTCTAAATTATTCAAATCATGACCCCTGGGGTAGGGCGGGGCTACAATACGTATTACAAGGGGGAAATCGGGTGAAAAACAGCAAGGCCAAAGTTACTCCGGTGAGCTTTGTGGCCCATGGGCCTCTTGTTTTACATATAATACTTAAAAGTACTTCAGTCTACAGATCCTTGACAGTGTTGTAATACATGTATACTCAGGTTATCCTTAATGCCCTTGGGCCTCTTGCATTTATGAGTGAATGATAGAAATATTCTACTTATTTCAATATTTATATATATGATGCTTGTGTGGATCTAGTGAGGGGTTTGGGAGTTTGGGGTCCACTGGAGTTTAACAGTAATATGACCTTGGACACACACCCCCCCCCTCCCCAAGGAAACATGGACCCCTCTTACAATGGAAAGGAGAGTCCATGTATCTGAAAGGAAAGTGTAACTTCTATCTATCTACTGTGATAGATAACTGCGACTGGTTCATTTTGTATCAGATTCTGGCGATCATATGCTAGATGCCATTTTCTTTCTTTTTTAGAAGAAAAATAACCAGGTCGAGGAAACTATATTCTTTGACATCGGAATAAATTAACATATAAAATCAGGTCGAGGAAACTATATTCTTTGACGTCATAATAAATTTACATATTAAATGAGATACCAACATTTTTAACCTCTTGACCTATGAGTTTAACCTACTTTTGTAAAATTTTTATCTTGGCCCTAACTTTGGAATAGTTGGTGCTAGGGCTTTCATATTCCTTGTGACCTTTCTTTAGGTATCAACATTTTTAGGTCACCTGAGTTTACTCAGGTGACCTATTGCTATCTGTTTTCGTCCGTCGGCGTGCGTCGTCCGTCGTGCGTCGTGCGTTAACATTTGAACATTTTCAGCTTCTTCTCTGGAACCACTGAACCAAATTCAACCAAATTTGGCACATAGCATCTATATGTGAAGGGGAGTAAAAATTGTGAAATTCATGACCCCTACCCCCCTGGGGCCTGAGGGGTGAGGCTAAAACCATAAGAATTAATGCAATCTTTAAAAATCTTCTTCTTTACTCCTGGGCATCAAGCAGGCAAACTGTTGGCATGAATGTAATAAGCATTGAGCCCTCTACCTAAATTGTGAAATTTTTGGCCCCAGGGTCAGGGGTTCTGGTGCTAGGGTGGGGCTCTGTTGAATATGTAGTGAAAAGCATTATTCTTAAAAAAATCTTCTCCTCTGCTCTTGGATATTTAGGAAACAAACAATATGCATAGTTATGATGAGGAAAGGTGTCTCTTCTAAAATTGTGAATTTCATGGCCCCTGGGTCAGGGGTTCTGGTGTTAGGGCGGGTATCTAATGATTATATAGTGAAAATGCATTAATTATTCAAAAATCTTCTCCTCTGCTCCTGGGTATTAAGCCGATGAACTAAGTATATAGTTATGATGAGAAAGAGTGCCTCTTCCAAAATTGTGAATTTCATGGCCCAAGGGTCAGGGGTTCTGGTGTTAGGGTGGGGCTCTGTTGAATATATAGTGATAATGCATTATTTCTTTAAAAAGCTTCTTCTGTGCTCTTGGATATTATGAAAACAAAATAAATACATAGTTATGATGATGAAAGGTGCCTCTTCCAAAATTGTGAATTTCATGGCCCCAGGGTCAGGGGTTCTGGTGTTAGGGCAGCGTTCTGTTGAATATACATGTATAGTGAAAATGCATTATTTCTTTTAAAAATCTTCTCTGATCCAGGGCAAACAAACTGAAGGCATAGTAATGATGAATAAGGGTGCCTATTCCTATGTTGTGAATTTCATGGCCCCCTGGTCAGGGGTTCTGGTTTTAGGGCGGGGCTCTAATGATTACATAGTAAAAATGCAATAATTCTTTGACAATCTTCTCCTTTTCTCCTGGGTAATAAGCCGATGAACTAAGAGTGTAGTTATGATATGTAAGGGTGCCTGTTCCAAAATTGTGAAATTCATGGCCCCTAGGTCAGGGGTTCTGGTGTTAGGGATGGGCTCTGTTGAATAGCATTATTTCTTTAAAAATCTTTTTCTTTGATCCTGGGTATTTAACAAACAAACTGATGCATAGTTATGATGAGTAAAGGTGCCTCTTCCAAAATTATGAATTTCATGGCCCCTGGGTCAGGGGTTCTGGTGTTAGGGTGGGGCTCTAATGATTACATAGTAAAAACGCAATAATTCTTTAAAAATCTTCTTCTTTTTTCCTGGGTATTAAGCTGATGAACTAAGAGTATTGTTATGATATGTAAGGATGCCTCTTCCAAAATTGTGAATTTTATGGCCCCTGCATCATGGTTCTGGTGTTAGGGCAGGGCTCTAATGATTACATAGTGAAAATGCATTAATTCTTTGATAATCCTCTGCTCTCTTTCTGGGTATTAAGTAAGCTTACTAAATGTAAAATTATGATGAGCAAGTGTGCCTCTTTCGAAATTGTGAATTTCATGGCCTCTGGTTTAAAACATGAATCCAATGTGGCGAAGTTGTTGCATGATACTCAGGTGACCTATAAGGCCTGTGGGCCTCTTGTTTATCACATGATCTTGGGGTTTGAACTTCTTTTGAAAAAGCTCAACCTTGGTCGTAACTTTTGAACAGTTGATGCTAGCTAACTTTGGAATAGTTGATGCTAGGGCTTTCATATTCCTTGTGACAAGACCTTTCTTTAGGTACCAACATTTTTTATCACTTGATCTTGGAGTTTGAACTTCTTTTGAATAAGTTCAACCTTGGCCATAACTTTTGAACAGTTGATGCTAGGGCTTTCATATTTCAAAAATGTATTTCTTGTTACAAGACCTTCTTTTGTTACCAACATTTTGACCTCTAGACTGTGGAGTTTGACCTTCGTTTGAAAAAACTTTAACTTTGGCCATGAGCATGGCAGGGGGCATGAGTGTTTCACAAATGCATCTTGTTTAGATTTGTATTAGGAGATAACCATTGTGGGAGATGTGATAATTCACATAAGAGACAAAACTGCTTATGCAAGAATTATCGCTTCCATAGTTTGTAATTATTCTCGCACGAAAAATAAAATAGACACTTTGCTTTAACACTAAGTCTGGATCAAATTGATACTTGTGTGGCAGTCAGACTGGTTTGATTGCCCATGCCTGGATAGCTTAATAGTTGATAGAGGACCTCTCTAGATCTCAAAGGCCTTGGGTTCGAATCCTGGTCTGGTCCATCACATTTTCTCTTTTCTGGTTACACTGTTATTGGTATACATATTGTAAAATCTCATATTTTTGTGGGGTCAGATTTTTGTGGTTTGAGGAAAAAATATGGGTTTGTAGGGATTTGATTTCGTGGTTGAAAAAGTGTAAGTAGTGTATTTTGTGGAGGACATGAATTCATGGGTCTCTTCTTATGGTGAAAACAACAATTAATCCCCCATGAAAATTAGTGATTTCACAGTACTTTAGAGAAACTATTATTGAAGACTTTGTTTTTATCTTATCCCCCCTATTCTGGCCTCTGTCTCTTTCCCTAATTTAAGGAATCACTGTCTAGTTAGAAGAGTATGCCAGGGCATCAACGATAGTTGGAAACGTGGGATAATTTGCATAACGGGCTTCGCCCGTTATGCATAAATTATCCCACGTTTCCAACTGTCGTTGATGTCCCTGGCATACTCTACTAACTAGACAGTGATTCCTTATATTTCCATTTCATTTTGAAATAAAATTGTAAATTTGGATTTTAAAAATGTAGACTAATAGATTTAAATTACACAAGGCCTCACATGTCAATTTCAATAGTCCCCGCCCACTGACGTCAAACACAAAGAAAGCCGCACGAGATTTACAGGCCTCCTTAGCGTCAGACACAAAGACAGCCGCATGAGATTTACATGCACATTAGGCCTTCTTAGCTCCTGACCTTTCGCTTTTCGAAATTTGCATTCCATTAGAATGATCAAGAAATCAACTCTCCTAACTTTCAAAGAGTTATCACAGAGAAAACAATTAGAAATGGAAATATTAAAATATATTAGAAACACCTTCTGATGTAACAAGTAAATAAGGAAACAAGTAGATAGTTCATAGGTCACACAAGATGCAATGTGGTTATAGAGGTATATCTCCAGCCTTTACTGGTGTGTAAGCATTGATAAATACATATAACAAAATGTATCTATTGAGGTATTATACAATTACTGCTGTTTTTGAGGTCAATACAATGATTTAGCCACCTGAGGAGTACAATATTCACCGAGTCCTAAGGGTGGGGTGAATATTGTACTTCAAAGGTGGCTAAATCATTGTATTGTCTGAAAAAACAGCAATAATTGTTTTATTGTATGATTCATTGATTAAATGATAATCTACTCAGATAAGAAAAAAAAGAAATAATGTCAGGCTCTTTTATGGGATCAATTTTGAAAGGGGACATTATCAGGGAAAACTGACAGCTGAAAAATATCTTTGATTAGCCCCCACAAAAAGATATTTCTCTCATTTTCAAATTTTGTTTTGGGGTTGGGATGGGGAATAAAGTCAATTAGTGGGGGACCAGCCTTTCAATGATTCCAGATAATTTTTTAGAGAGATCAGAATTCTTCAATCATATAATAAAATGCTATATCTTAATGCAGTGCATTAATGACAGGCAGGACATTAGATGCTACATCTCTGTGACTAAAACTAATAGAAAGAAAAGCCACTGTGTATACTATGTACTTTATTATGAATATTTGTGAGGCTTCCTCCACAAGTGTAGAATGAACATGCTTATTAAATGGAGGCACATGCAATATAAATTTTAGAATATGCAAGTATGCTACAAGATGGACATGAAAAAATATGGCATATAATATCTACATTGAAAAAATAAATATCTGACTACAGATGCTTTGGTTATACACATTAAACAGGTAATGGACTTTGATTGCATAATTACAATAAATAACAAAAAAATATGATTTGTGTATATAAATAGATTTTTTTGGGACATATAAACACTTAATAACAAAACAATTGAACTATATTCACCCTTCTCGTTTGCACCTAAAACCATTATTAAAAGTGCTTCCTTTAAAACTCAAACAAAATAATGTACATAGTATTAAAACTTGCTTTAAAAGAAATCATGGGGACATTTAGTTAAATTAGTTCCTAAATCCAAATGCCTTTAATACAGTAAAACTTGTCTAATCTGGACACCACTGGTTCCAAAGAAATTGGCCGGATTAGGCAACTTTCGGATTAGACAACATTCTAAACAATTGATTTTACTGCAAGGGACTTAAAATTTACACCGTTTAAGACAATATTTGGGAGTACACAACATCCAGAATAGACAAGTTTCACTGTATATCCATATATTAAGAGAGTGTTTATGATATAAGGGATGGGGTAGAGATATCTTCCCTTAACAGAGATTTCCATATATCTAAGTTCCTCATAAGCAAGTCTTACTGTATATATAAAAGTGTTGGAAACTTTCTAACAATTAGCTGCAATAACATGGTGGTCAACCTGTAAAAGACCTATATAAATTAGGCTGGAGTGATTGCACTACTAACTAAAATTGTAACTATTCAGGAATGTCTTTAATACTGAAATTACAATTTCACACTGAACTGTTAAAGGTTGAATATTTCTCTGTAGAGAGCACAGCTTCAGACAGAATGTTGATCATTTCTGTTTGTAAATCTGTTATGTTTGTAAATCTGTTATGTGTTAATTAACCTACACAGGAATATATCAATCTATAGTTTAAAAAAAACACAGTGTCATGATGCTACTATTGTTGGTTCTAAATTGTAAAGCTTCATGCAGTGGTATTTGATGCATAAAAACATTATCTTGCTCTGGGATGAACACAGTGACTCTAGTTTTACCTAGAGCTTTTTCCAGATCACACGAGGACAACCATTTTGCGGATTTGGCTCATTTCCTTTCTCAACTGATCCTCTAAAATTTTTCTTTTCCCCTCCATCACTGTTTTCATGTTGGTGATGCTCTCATGAACTGTAGAGAAGCCCTCCCGAACTTCACGTTTCAGACGTGAGAATTCCTCCTTCTGCTGGGCAGCCATTTGTTCCAATCGGGCAGCTATCTTATTTTCCAAATGCTGGTAGAAAACAGAAAGAATGATCTCTTAGAAACTTATATAAACAGCAGGTAATTATCAAGAGGGAGTCCATTTGATGTCAGGCATGGGTTGGTACATAACTGTTTTAAGCAAGTAAAAAATAATTTGATATAGATGGAAAGGACTGTAAATAAGTCCAATGAATTTATTTTACTTCAAAAGGGGTATATTTTATTATGACTTTTTTGGGAAAAAAATCAAGTCAAAATTTCCAAAAGAATATATTTATATGTAGCTATTAGTGGGTTTTCTGCACATTGTTAAAAAGCCTGATTTAACATGGACATTCCTCAAGTATTGAGTGCTAACTTGTTTAAAATTTAAATTGATAAAATATTAAAATGTGCAATAATTAACAAAGCACTGACTTTCTGCATTGTTTTTAATTTATAATTTGATTTTATAAGAATATACATTTCTTAATTAATCATCTTGCTTTAAAAATTCCCTTATTTGAATTCACATTTTTAACACTTTTAGCAAACTTCACATTCAAATTTGAAAACTTAATTAAATCATAAAATATCATTCACAGCACATAATGTAAAATTAACACCAAAACATTTACTCTCTCTTGATTTCCTTTAGAATTAATAGCACTGCACTAGCAACAATTACTACTAAATAACATGTACAAGGGGAGTAACTCTACAGCATTACTCCATTTCTGAAACAAGACAATCCACATATAGTTAGATCATAACATACAGTTCATCTAGTACCTGTTCAGCATCAAGGCCTATACCCTATATATAAATATATACAATATTAAGTCTCCATTATCAGATCTGTGGAATAATTAATTTGTCTTTTTGGTTATTTCTCCAGTTTTGTTTGAATCCAGACAGAAGCTGCAACAGCTAGTTGTTAACAATCATAAATCCTTGAGTTTCCCAGTTTCACCAAGCTTGATTAATGCACAATTCTGGTAAATCTTTGCTATTTTCAGGAAAACATATAATATATTATATTAAGTACATATACAATGATCAACAAGTCTGTTAGAAAAGCTAACTCACACCTGACAAGAAACATTTAGATCCACCCATTTATTTACAATACCTTACTGCCACCCAGGCCTAAACCCTGAATAGTTAACATGCTTAAGTTGTAACTCTGACTGCAGTATAAATCACATTTATTTTCAACAAATTCCAGCATATGTTACTAAGTGTAAAGAAACATCAGATTGCAGGTTATATTGTTTTTGACATGAAAATAGATAACTTTCATTCTCTTTAACTTTTGCAAATGATGGTTCAGTATTACCCGTCTGAAATAAATAGGCTTTTTTTTAAAGGCATGTTTTAATGAATCAGAAGTCTATGACAAGACTGAAGTTCTACTGGTTTGTATAGTTATAACAAAGGAAGAGAAAAGTAACACTTTGACTTGAAACTAATGGCAAATCAATACCCCGTTAAGAAGAATTATGATCTCTGATGTAGTTTCTTTATGTCGCAAGTTTTACTGAAATCACACTACAAATATAAGAGAAGTGTTTTGAAAGAATTTCACATAAATATCTATTTTTGAAACATGGCAACATCATTCCTTGAAATCAAACAGATAAACAGAACAATGTATCATGGTGTAGTCTTCTTGTGTATAGAGTTTTATTAGTTATCCAAAACTATATGAATTGTAGTGCTTTTAAAAAATTTCAAGGAAATATTTGCTTTTAATAAACATTACAAGCCACTATTCATTGAAATAAAAAAAAAACGGTCTATTGAATCATGCATCTCGGTGTAGTCTACATGTATGCCAAATTTTATTGAAATTGGACCAGAACTGTAAGATGAGTCAAGTGTTTTGAAAGAATTTTGCAAAAAATTCTATTTTAAGAAGCCATGACAGTTCTATAGTTAGTGTAGTCTTCTTGTGTATCAAGTTGTTTTAAAATCAAAATGAGAAAAGACTGTAGGTGAAGTAGCATTTAAAAAGAATTTCAAAGAAATTTCTTTTTTAGTAACCATGGCAATACCATTCATTTTGAAAAATTGTTTACAAACAGACAGACAGATGAGCAGCTAGACAGACACCTTACCATGAAGCTCTTTGGTCTCTGACCAGCAGAGCTAAAAATATGGCTTAAATAATTATATATACCAATTGGTATAGTTATTAGCAAGTTTAAATTAATGTTTTCAGATAACAATAGTAAAATATGACTGCTCCAATTTTTTCAAAATAACAGTTTAGAGACTTTTTTTTTAAATTTTCTATAAAACTTGACCCTTTTAACATCACACATTTCTTCTCTGTTCTCTTGTAACACTCTTGAATCTTCTATCTTAAAATCTATAGCACTTACATGTTTAATATCAACTAATTCTCATCCATAACACTTATTTATTCATTATCTGCTGTTTTTAATCTGTAGCACATACATCTTCTATCTTTTATCTATACACTTACATGTTCAATGTCACTTAATTCTAATCAATAGGTCTTCTATTCTTATCTATAGCACTTACATATATAACACCTGCTATCTTTTATTAGCACTTACATGTCCATGTTCATTATCTTGGTATTTTTCTTCTATTGCACTAATATGTTCAATATCTATCTTTTATCTATAGCACTTCGATGTTTAATATCTGCTATTGACTTACATGTTCATTATTGTTATCTACTTAAATGTTCAATATCTGCTATCTACTTACATGTTCAATATCTGCTATCTACTTTCATGTTCAATATCTGCTTTCTATTTACATGTTCAATATCTGCTATCTACTTTAACTATATGTTATTTTTTATTTGCAGTAATATTTTTATCAATATTTTATCAATTTTTGCTATTTTAATATATAACACATACATGTTCAACATCTGCTATCGACTTACATGTTCAATATCTGCTATCAACTTACATGTTCAATATCTGCTATCTACTTACATGTTCAATATCTGCTATCTACTTACATGTTCAATATCTGCTATCAACTTACTTGTTCAATATCTGCTATCTACTTACATGTTCAATATCTGCTATCTACCCGGTACTTACATGTTCAATATCTGCTATCTACTTACATGTTCAATATCTGCTATCTACTTACATGTTCAATATCTGCTATCTTGGCCCTTTCCTCCATTATGGCCTCCTCTATTTTCTGAATCCTGTTATCTGTCACAAAAGTGCCTTCATCTATCTTTCTTTCCAGTCTTTCCTGCAATAAATAATAGTATTTGAATTCATTTTAAGTGAACATGGAATGATTTACTTTTTCTCACACACCAGTAATCTTGACTGCACACCACTTAAAGGTGCTTGGACACAGATTTGAAGTTAATATTTTCTCAAATTTTCTGTATAATTTCATGACTTATATGTTGCTATAGCATTTCATACTAAAATATAATAAAAATCTTATTTCATCTTGAATTTCTGGATGTGTTGGATTGACTCATTCTTGCGCTTTCACATATTTTAATTTTATTCTTAAAATACTTAAGAAAAGTGGCAATCTTGTTGTGTATTAATGAAAAATATTAAAACTATAACCCAGAAAATTCAGAGTAGAAATGTAGAAAGCAAAACCCACTCACAGTATTGTCAGTCCATGCTCAGTGATCTGTGCAGAGTTTAACAATTGAACACACACGGTGAATTGTAAACATTAACAATAACAGAGCTCGTGCCCTGTTTACAAAAACAGTTTACGTTTCACAGGTGTGTTCAATTTGTTAAACTCTGTACACATCACAGACCATGGACTGACAATAGTGGTGAGTTGGTTTTGCTTTCGAACATTTCTACTCTGAATTTTCTGGATTATAGATGTAATATTTTTCATTAATACATCACAAAATCACTTCTTTTCTTAAATATTAATGATAAAGTTAAAATTTGTGTAAGTGCAAAGATGTGTTAATCAAACGTGTCCTGGAATTTGTAGTTCCAATAATTTCCAGATAAAATAAGTTTTTAATTATATTTTCGTGTGAAATGCAATTGCAATATATAAGTCGTGATATTATACAGAAAATTTGAGAAAATATTAAGTTCAAATCTGTGTCTAAGCACCTTTAATATATGATAGACATTACTGATAGGACAGAATTCCTTACTATAAGACTATCTTTGGCTGCAGAGATTCGTTCTATATTTGACATCATTCTGGACTCGAGTTTTTCTCGTTCAGTGTCAGAACTAGATTGATACATAGTCAGTGTGTTCTTCAGGTCATCAATAATACTCCTTGTTCGACTATCCAGTGTCGCCATCTGTTGGCCTGTGTCCCCCTCTAAATGTTGGAGCTTCATCTTATTCTCACTGGCAATTCTGTCTTGATTGTTCTGAATTGAGACCATCTGAAGCCAAAACAAGCACTTGGTAAGGAAATCTTACAATAACTACTTTATTTCCTTGTTCTGATAACAGGCTGATTTGTATAACAAAAGTAAAAGCAAAATATTTTCATTTCTCATGCAAGAACTTATACATGTATTATTGTGACACCATTCACTTCCGCAGCTGTATTTCTTCTTAAATGTTGTAAGAATTCATTAAACTATTAATAAATTATAATTTAAATTAAATGAATAGTTTATGAAAATGTTTTACCTTATTGTATTTTCTATCTTACCCGTGCCTCTACTTCATGGATCCGCTCCAAGATTTTTCCTTGCATGTCATTTTGTTGCTGTGACATTTGTTTAATGGCAGCTGTGGCATTTTGTAACTCTGTAGAGAGGCGAGCTATGGATGTGTCGCACCGTACAACTCGTCCCCTGAGATCAGTCAGGGAGGCCACATGATGGACCTCCAAATTCTTCACTGCATTGTTTGTTCCCATGGTAGCATTGTCTCGGGCACGAACACTTTCCTCAAGTTGCTGTCAAAAGAGAGCATGTGCTTTACTTAAAGAATTGCTCTGAATTTAGAACATAATTGCTTTGTGGTATGCACTGAAAACTGCACCGTGACTTCTACAAAACTAAAACAGATTAACATGTGGTCAAGTTTTGGATAATAAGAGCTGACTAAGTATAGATACAATATGCTATAACTTTCTCATTTTGGAGAATATGATTTGATGTATATGACCTTACTTGGTGTAAGTCTATTAACTTACTGATGTAAGTCTATTAACTAAATAATGTAATTCTATTATTTAACTGATGTAATTCTATTAACTAACTGATGTAATTCTATTAACTAGCTGATGTAATTCTATTAACTAGCTGATGTAAGTCTACTAACTTACTGATGTAAGTCTATTAACTTACTGTTGTAAGTCTATTAACTTACTGTTGTAAGTCTATTAACTTACTGTTGTAAGTCTATTAACTTACTGTTGTAAGTCTATTAACTTACTGTTGTAAGTCTATTAACTTGCTGGTGTAAGTCTATTAACTTACTGTTGTAATTATATTAACTTACTCTTGTAAGTCTATTAACTTACTGATGTAAGTCTATTAACTAACTGATGTAATTCTATTAACTTACTCTTGTAAGTCTATTAACTTATTGACTTGAGTCTTTCACTTACTGACATAAGTCTATTAACTTACTGATGCAAGTCTATTAACTTACTGTTGTAATTCTATTAACTTACTGTTGGAAGTCTATTAACTTACTAATGTGAGTCTATTAACTTACTGACATAAGTCTATTAACTTACTGATATATCATTGTTAAGGCGATTGACGACAGCAGTTATGGTACGTATATGTTCCTGTAACATATTTCTGGCATGCTTCTCCTCTTGCCAAGTTCCATGGGTGAAATTCAAACTGTCAATGACATCCTCTTTGATTTTGAAGGCCCGGTCCACCAAGTTTTGTGAATTTTTTTCCTGTTGTGCTAACCTTTCTTCCAGCAGGTCTAGTCTGGAGGGTCCACGACTCTGTCTCTCTGTGTTATTCCCAGAATATGGCAGAACTCTGGTCTCTGGTTCATTATTCCGGGGGCTTGGACGTTGAAATGGCTCATCTTGTGTATCATAAGGGGCTCTTAGAATTGGAAGCTGACCACGACGGGACATGTTCTTTGTTTTATTTTCTTTTAACAAACTGTAGACGGAAAAGGAAACAATTACTGAAAATTGCTGGGAAAAATTACTGTTCAATTTTTTAGTTCATAAGGCTAGAAATTTCATTTAGACCCAGGTCACATACATATCTATTTAAAATGACATACAATCTTATTAGTATTATTAAATGTATTCTGACATCATAAATTGATCCAAAATATAGACCAAAATGTATACATATATATACTGAATGATAAAACTGTTGCTGGTCTATCAAACATGTTTTATTTGAATTGAGGAGCCTGCTCATATTTTAATTCTTTGTTGAATACTAATATATAAATTCACCATTTTTCTGCAAAAAAAAAAAAATGTGCAATTTTACAAAGCCTGTTTACGAATACACACAGTTCACAAGAAACTTTCTTATAGGTAAAGAATGCATCAAGTCTCTTTACTTTATCTTATGTTTAGAATGGGACAGAATGAGTGACAATCCATTTATTCTGTTGACAGGGCCATTCATGCATTTAGTAAACTTAGCTATTTAAACTGACCAAGAAACCTTCATTAAGAAATAAATACTGATGGTTTGTTTTTGATAGGTGCAAAATGGATGTATCCAACTGAGGTGTACATTGATTATTTTATACCTCATTTGTGATGGGGAAACTGACCATGGTAATGTGCCTCGGCAGGTGCCAGTCTCCCCCTATACTGATACTAAAATTAGATCCAGAAATTCCCCCTTTTCATAAGGTACTGATTTTCAGGAATAATTAATATTTTTGAGAACTTTAAGTTGGATATTACCATATTTTCACCATTACTTCAAGAAACGTCATGTTTTTATAGCAACATTCAAATCACATTTAGAGTGATAACACAACATTTAAATTCAAAAAAAGCTGTTAGCATTAAAGATATATACCCAGTAATTTCTGGCACATTAGACACCTAGTATCAATAGGTAGTGAAGAAGAAAACTTTTAAGCCATTTACATAGACCCAAAACAAAACAAGACATTAAATTATTCCATCCCACTACAAGCAAAAGTGAATTTTAGATATATATAAAAGGCAAAGGGTTACCTGTATGTAAATGTTCAGCTCAATATGAATACTGCCAAAACATTGCACCAAGTATTGCTCAAAATATTTCTTTAAACCAACAGCTACATAGTTGACTGAAAAGGTTTTTTTTTAAAATTCTTTGGTAAAGAAGAACACTTCGTGGTCCAGTTTGATTAAGACTGATACATAATAAGATTTCTTATTTTGTTTACTTTCAAAGAATTTTTATTCATCTGTGGCAAAATCATCAAATCAAAGTCAGAGATATTCAACAAATAGAAAAAAAAACTTTAAAGTTAACCATATTACTTCTAAAAAAGAAAAAAGGATAATTTGAAAGAAACCATTAAATGTTCCTGGAACCTCTCCCCACTTGAATTTTGGAACAAATCCTGAATGGCATCTCCATCAAATTGATTTAAAATTCTGATTCTAAAGAAAATTGCTTTCTATTGAACAAAGGAGTTGGTTAATGCATGGTGTGTACAGAACAAGAAATTTGAACGTATAGGTAAGGTCTATATTCCTAAACAAATGAAAGTCTTTATGCCATCTAATAATACATCTTTTCACAGACCATTAAATGTGATTCTCACTCAAAACATACACTGAGGTTCAGGAGGGCAAACCAGAGGTACAAAACTTCTAGCATTCCATTTCTTAAGTTCTCAAATTAATTCTAAACAAATTTCTACTAGAAAGCATAAACATTTTCATTTTGCAGACTACTCTTGTTTATTGATTTTACAAAAATGAAAAAAAAATTTGTTCTTAGGAACCTAAGATGGACCTCTTTCGACAAAGTCAATCATCATTTTTATGCACAGTATGAAAGGATATGCCTCCCATATCATACAATGATTAAGGTACGGGCAGAGAGCCAATCAAATGGCAGGATTTGATGCAAGTCTAAAAGTGATTTCAATTCTATCAAACTTTCAACATACTACAAAAACTATGGAATGGATTAAAAATAATGAATAAAACTATGTAAGTAAACTTTGAAATATGCTTGCCAGATTGTAAACAAATATTTTTATTTAAGTTTACTAATATTATTGAAAATTAACATTTAAAAAAAAAAAATCTTTCAGTTAAAAAATATTTTCTATAAATGTACAAACCTTTATTAGTAAATTTACAGAATTAAGATACTAATGCTGTAAATGAAAGGATTTGTTTTTGACCTACAGAATGGATTGATAATTGATGACCTTCATCCCCATCTCTTCATATAAATATATCACATGTATAATAAATTTATTATTGATAATCTAAAATCAACAGAAAAATTATAAGTTCAAATATGTACACCTTTTATCACTTCATACTTTTAAGAGTTTTCCAAGGTACTAAATGATACATTTTTACAACATGGTATGTTCCCTGATCATCCATGATAAACTTCATGGTAAACTCTAAATATTCAGTGTCACAAATACTTGATTAATCCTTTAATATTTGGATACTTATAAGCAAGTCCCATTTAGAAATGTTTCACTGAATTCTGAAACATAAAAAGCTACTATTTGTTAAAAATAAAGTCTTAGGAAAAGAATGTTCATACATCCTGTATAGATATCAAGTATATTTAATCTAATAACTACAGTAGACCTTGTCAAGAGCCAGTACACTTAAAATGGATACCTGGTTATTATGGTTGATAATCATATCCTCACAGTTATGAAGATTTAACTGAAGGAAAGGAATTAGTTTATTGCAAATCTTAATTTGTCTCTAAACTGTTAATTACTATAGCCTGTAGGCTTTGATATACTGTATACATACATTGTATTTAGATTCTCCAGTAAAGGAGAGATCTGAAATCTGTTTTCTACAAATAGTTCTCTCTGACTGTATCAATTGTGCATTCTCACAATGTGTTGGTGATCTTTTTCTTTTATTCTAATATATATATTCAAAATAAAATACATATCCCCCTCCCTCCTCAAAAATCAAGAGCAACCAAAAAGTACTTAAACAAACAAACAAAACCAAAATGAAAACAAAACAAAATAAGCACAAATAAATAAATACCACTCCTTGAAATTGATTCCAATTTTATAAAAATTCCACAACATAACTTGTATATCAGACCTGCAATATACAGCTAAGAACTACTACACCTTTATATTTCTTCTAAATCTTAATAACTTATAATTTACACTGTATTATTGCCAACCATTAAAGCCTCCCATGATATCTTCCCATTACATTCTTGTATCATAATGCATTCCCTCCGATCTAACAATATGCCTTTCATCATCTCAGCAAAGAAAATCAAACATTTGTTCAATGAGTTTTTGACAAAATTTTGAATACCTTCAGACACTTAAATAAGAATTAATTGATATCTATACAACTGTTCCCTTTAATGACTTTGAGCATGTTTTAAATCTACAATGGCAGATGAATAGGCAGCAACATATAATATGATCAAAAGTGAGAACTCAACAGTAACCATGTAGAATCTTTCAACAAACAAATTCATAACACTTTCAGTTTTATACCATGGCAAAAAATAAATGTAAAGCTTTTTTCTTATATTCAAATTATTTAAACATTTGTGAAAAGAAGGTGAAATTAAAATCCTTCTGGAAATTCAGATGACGGAATTTTTAAAAGGAAAATTTTATGAGCATATCTCTTTTTCAGAAAGAGTGCATCAATCCATTTTAAGAGTCAAATTAACCAAGACATACAGTAATAAAGCAAAGTGTTGAACAGAATGGCAACACAGACAGGCGTAGTTCTGCCACAAATACGGCGTTCACATCACAAGAATCAGTTTGAAATTGTTGAACAAGATTATGATGCCATTCGAGTACAAAGTCCACGCCGTCAGACGGTCACAACATTTGAAGATGGAAGGAGCATTGTTACCCCTAAATCCGGGCGACTCCTGGCCCTGGAGGATAAAGTTACCAGGGCCCTAGAACAGCAGTCCCAGGTCCTGACTCAGCAGGAACAGGTGGCCAAAGCCCTGAATGACCAACAAAGAATGACAGAAGGTCTCATTCAGAAGGCATTCGACAATCGTGAGGACTTTATAGAAAATCTAAATCGAGTACAGAATGACCGACTGGAAGAAAACACAAGACATCTGCTTCAGAACCACATCAACTACATCACAGCAATAGTGTCACGACTTAACAAAGACATAGCAGTAAGTCAATAGTGTCATGACTTAATAAAGACATAGCAGTAAGTCTATAGTGTCACAACTTAAAAAGGACATAACAGTAAGTTTATGGTGTCACAACTTAACAGGGACATAGCAGTAAGTCATGACTTAATAAAGACATAGCAGTAAGTCTATAATGTCATGACTTAACAAAGACATAACAGTAAGTCTATAGTGTCATGACTTAACAAAGACATAGCAGTAAGTCAATAGTGTCACGATTTAACAAAGACATAGCAGTAAGTCAATAGTGTCACGATTTAACAAAGACATAGCAATAAGTCAATAGTGTCATGACTAAACAAAGACACAGCAGTAAGTCATTAGTGTCACAGCTTAACAAAGACATAGCAGTAAGTTTATAGTGTCAAGACTTAACAAAGACATAGCAGTAAGTCTATAGTATCTTGACTTACCAAAGACATAGCAGTAAGTCTATAGTGTCAAGACTTAACAAAGACATAGCAGTAAGTATATAGTGTCAAAACTTATCAAAGACATAGCAGTAAGTTAATAGTGTCATGACTTAACAAAAACATAGCAATAAGTCAATAACGTCATGACTTAACAAAGACATAGCAGTAAGTTAATAGTGTCACAACTTAACAAGGACATAACAGTAAGTTTATAGTGTCACAATTTAACAGGGACATAGCAGTAAGTCTATAGTGTCACGACTTAATAAAGACATAGCAGTAAGTCTATAGTGTCATGACTTAACAAAGACATAACAGTAAGTCTATAGTGTCATGACTTAACAAAGACAGCAATACCTCAATAGGTTCACAACTTAACAAAGACATAGCAGTAAGTCAATAGTGTCACAACTTAACAAAGACATAGCAGTAAGTCTATAGTGTCATGACTTAATAAAGACATAGCAGTAAGTCTATAGTGTCACAACTTTATAAAGACATAGCAGTAAGTCTATAGTGTCATGACTTAACAAAGACAAGCAGTAAGTTTATAGTTTCACAACTTAACAAAGACATAGCAGTAAGTTTATAGTGTCACGACTTAACAAAGACATAGCAGTAAGTCTATAGTGTCAGGACTTAACAAAGACATAGCAGTAAGTCTATAGTGTCACGACTTAACAAAGACATAGCAGTAAGTATATAGTGTCACAACTTATCAAAGACATAGCAGTAAGTTTATAGTGTCATGACTTAACATAAACATAGCAATAAGTCAATAAGGTCATGACCTAACAAAGACATAGCAGTAAGTTAATAGTGTCACAACTTAACAAAGACAAAGCAGTAAGTCAATAGTGCAAACTTAACAAAGACATAGCAGTAAGTTTATAGTGTCAAGACTTAACAAAGACATAGCAGTAAGTCTATAATGTCATGACTTAACAAAGACATAGCAGTAAGTCTATAGTGTTATGACTTAACAAAGACATAGCAGTAAGTCAATAAGGTCATGACTTAACAAAGACATAGCAGTAATTCTATAATGTCATGACTGAACAAAGACATAGCAGTAAGTCTATAGTGTCATGACTTAACAAAGACATAGCAGTAAGTCAATAGTGTCATGACTTAACAAAGACATAGCAGTAATTCTATAGTGTCTTAAATTAACAAAGACCTAGCAGTAAGTCTATAGTGTCACAACTTAACAAAGACATAGCAGTAAATTCTCTTCATACAGAATGTTTGAATTGAATTTCTCATGCAAGGCTCAAAAAATTCATCTCCTTGACATTTTTGTGCAGACTATGTACAGTTAGTTATTTAAATTGTCATTTTGCTATTCTTTGTAATCATTTCTTTACAAACTACATTTAAGACACTGGAAGAGGAGATACATAATAGAGACATGGCGGTGGTTGGGACAAACTCAGCTGTTGGGAAACTGGAGGTTCATCAGGTGACCATGTTGCAGGACCTACGTAGCAGAGTTGTTCGCTGTGATCAGGCCCTTACAAAGCACAGCGCGGACATAAGTAACTGTCGCAGTGAGATTACCAATACCATGCGTGAACAGCAGACCATGAAAGAGAATCTGAAGGAACATATTCATCGTGTGGAGGCAGAGGTCTGTGACAAAGTTCAAACATTTAGATCATAAGCTATGACTGTAATAGAGGGCATTCTTGTAGAAGTCTATAATACACTTTCCTTCAGCATCCCAGTTATTGCAGGTTGACACGTAGCTGTAATCATTGATTCCCACTTACAGAGTTACAGTCAGATCATAAGACTCAGTAAAGTGCCTTTTCTATAATCAGTAATGGTGGTCATTCATACTTGCTAATTTTGTTTTCAATATTTATTTATTGAGTGTTAAAACTGCATATATTGTGTTTAACAAGAAAGCATCTATGTTTTAAAAAATTCAAATAAATATCACTTAGAAAATAAAATGGGACATACTGGTAACAAAACATCAGGACACTTAACAATATCAGATAATGTGGCCTAAAGGTTGATATTGGTGAGTGTTACATGGCATGAGCTAATAGAATTTGTTGTTTCTTACACATAATTTTGGTCCATGTGATTAAATAAAAAATAATTTTGATTTATTTCAAGTAACTCATACATACATGCATAACTCATGCATACAAATAATTCATAAAGAAATGATTTATATATAAATTTGTAGGCAGTAATTTGTATATCACTATGACATAATGTATAACATAACGTTTTTACCAGATTTAATAAGTGTCCTTTAATTTATTTTTAGCAGCATGGCATTCACTTATTGGGAAAGGTTAGCAATTGTTTGAAAAAACAAAGAACTTATTAGATAGAGCCCCACATGCTTGAAAAGAGAGTTGAAAAGTTCTGCTGAACAGGAATTTTGAGGATCTAACCCTAGAACAACAAACCTTATACCATTACTAACATGACGGGTTCCTTCACCATGCTAATGATGACAATGATAATGATTTCTATCATTTTAGATGCTGACCATGATGGGAGAGCTGGAGAGAATCCATGGTGAACAAAACACAGAACTAAATCACATGAAGAAAGACACAAATCGTGAACTAGCCCTGGTAGGGGAGAGAAATAGTGTCATACTGAATGATGTCAAAGCTACGCTGTCAGCCTTCAAACTGTCCATTGAGAATGATCGGGATCGATTTGAGGAGAGGATGATGTCGCTGTTAGACAAGGCCACAGGCAACTGGAAATCTCTCTTGGTAAGCTTACTGTGTTTGTGCGGACTGGTTGAATGGTTATAATATTCTACAGCAAGGATTTCAAATTTACACTTATTACAATTTTCAATGTCAACAATCTAGTATAAACTTTACCGGTAACATTATTTTCACACATTGTAACGAGAGTTGACATTGGTTTGTTTGGCATCACATGTCAAGGTATATAATGCAGATAGACCTGGACTTTCTAATCATAAACTTTAAAAACTCTGATAGACCCAGACTTCTAAAAAAAGATACACCAACTCCTCTTTGTAATTGTGACATCATAATGGGTATGACGTAGCAATGCCCTGAGTGTGGATCTACTGTACATTGATAACATAGATGTTTAATATATCAAACATAAATTTAAACATAAAATTCAAACAAATTTAGCATTTCAATTTTTTACATTCCCTAAATTATTCATTCAGTATAAAAGATACACAATGTCATTAAAACAGCTTATTTTGTTTTGATGTCTTAAGTGTCTATGTATTAAAAGAGAGATGAAAACTTTATCCTTTTTTAAAATCAAATTTGTTTTGTTAATCTCTTAAAAAAAAATAATATAACAAATGTAGCCCTTTCATTTGGTCAATCCATAGATATATCGACTTCACAGAAAAGCATATCGACCTCGCACTTCATGCTCGGTCAATATGCTTTTCTGTGAAGTCTATATATATCTATGCATCGACCTCATGAAAGGGCTATATTTGGATATTATCATGTTTACCCTTTTATTCTGTGAATATTACACATTAGATATTTTTTTCATACACCAATGTTGTGACGTCACAGTTATTTTTGCATGAAAATATCATAAAGTAAAATAATGTGGATTCATATAAAGAAACAGTGTAAAACATTGATAGCAATTATAAAACGTGATAAAAAGAATTTCCCATGATTTGTGGTTGGATATGATTTTTATCCAACTCGCTGGATAAAATCATAATCAACCACAAATCATGTGAGGTCCTATATGTCTTCTAAAGTATTATTTATAGGTATAATCCAGTCAAAATTAAGAAAATGTGCACATTCAAATGTTGAGACACTTCTTCACTCTCACACATCATTGGGAAATATGTTTGGCATAATGCATATAACTATACTGATCTATTTAATTTTTGACTACATGTATATCATCATTTTCAGCCAAAGTCAGAAACTTCATTCCACATTATCCTGCTCTGACCTGGGGTTACTACACGTACTATATATATTGTGTAAAATACAGGTAACAATGTGTTTTGTAGGAGAAGGTTGATATACGTATAGAAGAAAATGTATACAGTCTAGATATCCGCATGCAGAAACTGGAGGAGGCATTAGCATATGACAGACGAGTCATCTCTGATCTTCAGGCGGTCAGTATCTATATGACAACTAATGGAGGGAGGTTTACTAATCAATGAAAAAAAGGGAGGGTTAAAGGAAAAAAGAGAACTTTTTTTTAGTTCAATGCAAAAATATACAATAAATAATAATAAGGAAAATAAACTAAATAATAAGCAGGTTGTTTTTAGAATTATCTTCAACCTTGTATGTCTATAAAAAAAAAAAAATCCATTTATGTTTTGCTGTCATTATAGATTTTGAAATATTATTGGATTTTTGAAATAGTCATATGGTGTTGAATATTTCTCATTTTTTTCCTTCTTTCATATTTTGTTTTCTTTTTTTCTTTTTGAGTGGGAGGGAGGAGGGGGTTAAACCTCACATTTTTTATACATATGTAGTATGAAGAAGTAAGGTTAGTAAGAGTTAAGCCCCTTTTCACAGCACAATGTAAATATGTCAAATGTCGAATTCTTTTATAAAGTAAACATTTTCCGATTTTTACTTCATATCTTCAGTATGGTGCAACTTTTCTTTTTTTTTTCATAAAGATATTTTGGTGTAATTTGCATTACAAAATATAATTTGATTGTTTTGGCAGGTATTTGTTTGATCTCTTGGCTCAATTTATGATTAACAAGATATATATTTAAAATTTCTAACTTATCAATTATATGTAGATACATGAACATCAAACATCATATTTGAAATTATTGTGCTTATAAATTCTAAATACATGAGTACCTCAAATGCTATCTAAATATTCATTTATAAGAAAAGCAGTTTTTACAACTTCTAAGAAAGAGAACCAAAACCATTAAGCAATTTTCTCACCAACAAAATATAAAATAAATGCCCCCATCCCTCCAAAAATTAAAATACTACTAAAATCACTAATTTTTTTTTTGGGGGGGGGGGGGGTAATTTTAGTTGTTTTTGAGGTATGAAGAGACCCAAGAATTTATGCCCACCACGAAATATAATTTTTCATACATATTACTACTCAACAATTTTTCATCCAGGAAATCAAATCCCCATGAATAGGGCTGGGTATCAGCTGGGAATTTCGTATTGTGATATATTGCAATATTTTTAAATGTATTGCGATATGTACTGCAATATTATCAATAACAGTTAAAATGCTCTTTTCTTATTTTATTAACCTTCATTTATAAGCAGAGTGTATATAACTATCATAAATATGTTGTAGCAAAAAAATTTCTTGTTGATTTCCCTCCAGTTTTGCAATGGAATGCAACAATATGGTTTATCGTGAATTAGGCCGTTATCCATTAATCATAACCAGGAAAATAAGAATTATGAAATACTGGTGTAAATTACTTAGTACAAATAACTGTATATTGAAATCTTCTTATGAATATTTATTGTATAATGCTGAAAATAAATTACACTCCAAACTTAACTGGGCAAGGGATGTTAAAGATGAGTTGTTTAGAATGGGACTTGGGAATTTTTGGATCAATCAAGATTTTATTAATCCAATACAGTTTATATCTTTATATAAGGAAAGACTGTTGGATATCTACCTTCAAGATTGTAATGCCTTTTTTGAAAATTCAACAAAGTGTTTCTTGTACAAGCACATTGTGTGTGACAATTTTTCCAAAATCCATGCATATTTGACAAAACCTATTCATTCTAAGTTAAAGAAGTATATTACTAGAATAAGGCTTTCTTCCCATAGCTTAAGTATAGAAACAGGAAGATATCAGAAAATAGAAAGAAGTAATAGAATATGTCAATTTTGTAATGATCACCGTATCGAAGATGAATATCATTTTTTGCTTGAATGTCCTGTTTATGATTCTTTAAGAAGAAAATATATCAAACCATATTATTTCAGATCTCCAAATATGTACAAGCTTACTCAGTTACTCAGCTCTCATGATTTTGGTGTTTTAGTTGGATTAGGGAAATTTATTTTTCATGCATTGATATTAAGAAATGATGAATAATTTAATTTATATGTATATTATGTATAGATATTTTTCATGTATAATGGAGAATCTAATGCTTACTGTAATTGTTGGTGTTGAGGAGTCGGACAGATGGACACTAGGGGTTCCACCCCCCGTAGACTCTCGCTATGCGTGTATAATTATGTTAATTTTGTGTAACTGATGGGCCGTATGGCTTAAAGCTGTTTAATAAAGAATTAAAATTCAACAATTCAACAGCAACCTTACTGTTTGGCACGATTGAAATGTTTCTGACATCTTAAATTTCATATTTTACCTTAGAAATCCCAAACCCAAGCATTTTGCTGGTGTATGGGTACTGGAAAAAGTATTGGAATACTGCTTTTTTGTAAACAAATTGCAATATACTGGAATATCGATATTATTGTGCGGCCCTACCTATGAACCCATATGTTTTCCTCAAACCACAAAAGTTTGACTCCAAGAAAATATGTAATTCTACAGTAAATACAAATAACAAATAAATAAACTTAAACATGCAACGACCAATTATTATTTGAGTCAAAAGTTGATTTTGTGTTTAATTTTAATTACATGTACCAGCTTTCTCTTCATACCTACTTTTAATTTATTTATAATAATTTGAATTTCAGAAAGTAGAGACACGAATAGTTAACAGACTTGAGACTCATACTCGACATCATCAAGAAGAACTGGCCAAAGCGAAGCGAGAATTCAGGGAGGGTTTCACCTCAGTGCATGACAGTATATCAAATGCAAAGAGAGTGTTAGAGGGCAAACTGAAATTACAGGAGGATAAGCTTAAAAAAGATATTAGCCAAGTCCGAAAACTAGTGGTGCTTGCTTGATATTCTGTTCTTTCACATTGTCAAATGTACATGTATAAATACTTGCCTACATTTCTGAGATTTGTCATTAATTCTTTGTTTGTAGCGATTCAATTTACATATATATTAAATTATATTACATTTCTTGATACAGTGCAACTTGTTTAGTACGAACATGGATGTAATGAATTTACAGATATAGTGAAGTTTCCTTGAATCCAAGGCAAAATTCTTAATAAATCTTTGTAAAATTTTACAGTTATAATGAACTGTGAAATAATGAATACAGCAAACTGATTTTGTGAACCATAAATTTAAATATAACACAATTTACATCTTTTACTACGGTAAGAATTTTTAAGATCTAAAAATTTTAAATATTGAAGCGACAGTATTTTTCAGAAGTATATTTATATCTGAAATTCAATTTATCAGAAAACTTAAGTATCCTAAGGTAAGTTTTGAATATAATACTTCCCTGAACATATTCAGTTTTCATACTTGAAGGAAAACATGTACCGGTATATTGCTAGTATATACATATAATTTAATAAATTCCCTAAATGGATAACATGAATTTGGATATAGAAAGTAAAATCATTATGGGTCCCCACTCCCCAGGAATTTGACAATATTATAACTGAGTGTTACAGTAGACAAGCTAAATGTGCATTAAAACCACTTATACAAACCTATGCATTAATATATTTGTTGTAACTTGTTTTCTAAAGTGGAAATATTAAGAATGTTCACAGTTGATTTACTAAATGTGGAAACATCAAGTAGCACAATATACAGTATATAAGGCACATTAATTATTGATTTGCCATTCATAAATATGTACATGAAGTATTATAGAAAGGTTCTCTTATTAGAGATAAAAAGTAGAAATGTAGTTTAATTTGACTTATTGAATCTAAAGAATGTAATTCCATGCAATTTCTTTTTTAATTTTCTTACTGTTATACTGTTCATTCACATGGTTCTTCTTTATTTTTGTGGTTATACTTCATAAAATAAATAAAATAAATAAAATAAAATAATAATAAACACGAAAATCATTTAGAAGTTTGTATATCAATGCAATGAATGTGACGAAATGTTTGAAAAGTAATTAAAAAAATATAGATGAACATTTCAGATAAAATATTCTACAGTTTTTCTTGGTCATTTCTCTTGGCAACGCACCAACATAATATCTCAATTCTTTTGAAATTGTCGTTAATTTGAACATTTTGATAGACTTTGATCGAAAATATATCCATCTCAATAATGCCATTTAAATTATGACACCAAATTAACTTTTACCTGCAAAATATTGATAATCAATTATTCCACTTGTTGAATATTCTCTACGTCGTCGCCATTTGTAAACAATGTGCCCGAAGTGCCCCCTAGCGGTATGAGGATTGAGGTCAACCGGGGTCAAATTAAAACCAACATTGCCGCGCAAGCAGTCGCGCCTCGTTCAACTTGTAAACAGGTGCCCGAAAAAGTCGTAGGGATTTTAAAGGAAGAAAAATTAAAAATCTTATAAATGTGTGGCAATGGAATTATTGTTACCGGCTGAGTTAAATCTTTTTAAAGTTTACGCACTTCAAGAGAGGCACAGGAAATTTTGAGGAAGTGTTTTAGCGGTTAATGTTGACATGTGTTATGATGCAAGTGTAAATGTCACAAGAAAAATGATTGTGTGATTATATTAGGAATATAACGTTCATTGGATCGTAACAGTACCAATTTGAAAAATGGATTCAAACAACGGCACCTCATCAAAGCGATCTTCACGTGGTAATTTTTTTAAAAATTTTTTTTGTCACTATGAATTTTAGAATCAAGAAGTCACTTTGACCATCCTGTCTTCGTAGTCTCGATACACGCTGCATCTGTCGGCGACATCCTTTATTTAATTAACATCCTGGTAATAAGAACGTTGCAGATAATAATTAATATGTATATGATTGTGATATGGTTGTATGCATTTGGTGTGGAATAAAACAGGACAGTTATTAAATATGGCGATATAAGAATCCCTTTTCAAAAGTGACAAAACTCATTATAAATATAGAGATAGCAAGGTGAGGAAAGGTGCATATTTACAAAGGTCCATACCAACCTTATAATGCAGTGTGAACTACCTTAACTACTTGCCCCCCCCCCCCTCCCCAATCAAAAGGAAAATTGAAGAGGGAGCCACAGAGCTGCCAACCCTTATCAGGCTTATGATTTTGGTTTAAGTTAAGGCTTATGTCTAAAAGTATGCCTTAAGATTTCTTTATATCTTCTTATGAATTCCATTTTTGCTCCATCAAAAGTTTGAAAGATCACTATTTTCATAGCTGTCCACCTTCAGTTTTCAATATTGTGATAAAAAAAAGTCATAGTCCTTACAGCGCTTGCTTGTATTGTAATTGTGCTTTTCTGTGCTAACTTGCAATCTTAAATAAAATGGAGAAAAAAAATCTCTAGCAGCCAGGGGCCTATGTGGCCCATGGTCATTCTTCTTATAATTTTTGCATTTTATATGTTGGCAGCTCTGGGGCCATTTTCATAACTTCATTTATAAGCAACTTTTCTAGTAAAGTCATCGTTTTTTCATAAATTATATGGAATACCTTCCCCCTTTAAAAATATTTGGCCAATGTCATTGTAGCATTATTTTTTTTTATGGGGGAGGGGTATTATCTGTGTATGTGGCAACTGAATTACTAACTTAATTGTATTCATTGCAATCATTGTTCTTAGAAAAGAAGAATCAATGCAATTTGAAGGTTCTTTTTTCCTTCTAGCTAACATTTATTATTATATTTAAAAATATGAATTGATCGAAGTAAGCATGGTAAGTTTTGTCCCTTTGAATCCCAGTGAGGCTAGATTAAGTCAACTAAAGACTTCAATCTAAATTCTGTCTGACCATCAAATTTATTAGAGTTTAAATGATGACTGTAAAATAAGAATGTTCACAATATTCATGAGTTCAGATTTCATTACAATGCTAGAACACATAACAATGGATGAATATACTTGTCATCGAGTACAGTCATTAATATGCAGTGTTACAATACTTCCCGACTAGCTGTATATTTAACAGTTACAAAGCAAAAAATAATGCTATTCTTTGAATGTTAGTGACTAAGCTCAATACATGTTGACCAAAGTGCATAATGTTAGTCTCAAAACTGAAGTGGTCACATCCGTAGTGCGCCTTACTGCAAACAAATCTAAACCCTTCCCAAAATAGAAGTGTAGTACGTCTATATCAGTACACTACGCCCATGTATAGACATGATGTTCAGTCCTTATTCAGAGTAGACAATACCTAAATACATCATGTACACTTGGGTGGGGGTGATGGGTGGAGAAATTGATATATTATCCAAACTTTTAAGACTTCATTCATTAAAATTTGAAGTATAATTGATGACAAGTACTTATTTAGGGATAGTATTGTGTGTAGAGTTACGTATAATACTATGAGTGGTTCCAAAAGAGAAAAGGTTCTCCATCACTTAAAGACTTCTCTGGATCTCCGATGGGTCGTAAATCTCTGGCGCAAAGCTGCTGGTTTGGAGAAAATAGGTAAGAAGGCTATCTTCCACGAGTTCCAGATTTTCAATTTCTGGAACTCAAACCCGACATGACTTCTTACAACTTGAGCATTTACAGTGAGACAAAGGTCTAGATGCCAGCAGAATCGGACACAGAATTTATTTTCAGATTTTGTCTGTTCGGACTTGAGTAACAATACATCCAGACTAGTGACATGTCTTAAGAACAAGTTGTTACATTTTGCTACCTCAAAACATGCTTCAATTAATTCATTGAAGTTGAATGTTGTGTCACAAAGATGTGCAGAATCCTTTATTCTGGATATGATTGTAAATATTTAAAGTAAAATATTTATTTTAATTTTATATCCATTGTTTTCGGGGGCTGACCCTTGACACTTCTAGTGATATACAGTTGAACTTTGGTATCTCGAACACCGATATCTCGAATACCATGGATTGTTGAAGTGATTTGGAAGTCCCAACCACATTTTCCTGTAGTATTTAACCTTGATATCTCAAATCCTCGGATATGTCGAAGATTTTTCCTCAGTCCCATGGAGTTTGAGATAACAAGGTTTGACTGTATTTAAAACCAACTTTTGTTTGCACCACTATGTCATTCCCACTCATAATGCTTCATTATTTCAACTCCGAAGTATTAATTTATTTCATTTCAAGATGCAGGAGTGATTAATGGAGATAATCTTTGATTCATCTCAGTGAAGGATAGTCACACACAAGGCAAAGTCTGACTACATTACATATTGTAATAATACATTGTTTATCTGAACTTAAGCTCTACGATCTTGTTAAGTGAGAATGGATATTAAAATCAGGAAGTGACAATACGACTCTGATTTGTTGGATGATTCTGACAGGAAATCTTGTGTATGATTTACCAGTATCTCGAGAAAACATTCTAGGTCTCTGAAAAATACACATACACTTATCTATATAGGTTTGATATATATAGAAAAGAGAAATTTCAATTGCTTCCTCTTTTTTAGCTTTTAAAAACTGTATTTATATTGCTCAATTTTGTAAACAAGTTAAACCATTCCATTTTTTTCTCCTCTATTTAGTCTTTATAGTTCAAATTTACTTACACATGTACCTGTTCACAAAACACCCTGTACTGATCATGTTATTAAAGTGCCTATAGTAAGAATAGAAAATTACATCATTTCTAATAATTCAGCAATTGGGCCCGGAATTGATTTACAGAAAAAAAATTTGAATGCTTATCAAGTTGACAAGTATTGTTCTGTGCAGTACTATCGAGGTGGCAAGTATCGTCCTGTGTAGTACTGTCAAGGTGACAAGTGTGCAGTACTATTTAAATTACAAGTATTGTTCTGTGCAGCACTGTCAAGGTGGCAAGTATCGTTCTGTGCAGTACTATCGAGGTGGCAAGTATTGTTCTGTGCAGCACTGTCGAGGTGACAAGTATCATTCTGGGTCACCTCGTTCTGTGCAGTACTATCAAGGTGACAAGTGTGCAGTTCTATTTAAATGACAGGTATTGTTCTGTGCAGTACTATCAAGGTGACAAGTATCTTTTTGTGCAGTACTATCAAGGTGACAAATATCGCTCTGTGCAGTACTATCAAGGTGACAAGTATTGTTTTGTGCAGTACTAGTTATCGAGTTGACAGTGTTCTATGCAGTACTACGTTCTTATCCTTATCCTTACTCACAGATCTATCTAAATATTTCTTTCATATCAAATACTTTTCAAATTCCATTCTGTAAAGATAGAAATTATAAGTCTGAAATGTTACATGTGTTAATGTTGATTGTTTAATGACCTTGACCTCCTAATCATAACCTTGACCTTTACAGCTGATGGGAGGTCCCACATGACTGCCGATGAGATGGATGAACAGAGGAAGCAGAATGTGGCCTATGAATACTTGTGTCACTTGGAGGAGGCCAAAGTGTTCGTATTACATATATACATGTATTTGTTTCATGTAGGGATGCCAACATATTGAATATCACAAATTAAGTGAAATGTTTTTATAAGTTGAAGATTATACATGTACTAAAAAAAACTGATGCAATTTCATACATTTTGAAATGTTTTACTAATTTTTTAATTCATACAACCTGTGCATGTAGGAAAAGTAGAAGTTGACACAGAAATGCGATTCAGATATCTCATGCAGTAATAACATTGAATATATCACAAGTGCATCAAGGAAGTTTATTTTATATTTATTGGGTGTATTTATTTTATTTCTGACTAATTCAACCTCTGAGTCAATGAAATTTCATTGAGTCAATAAAATTTAGGCATCTCAATGGGTTTTGATGCAGTTTCTTTTAAATTTACAAAGTTTTATTTGTTGGTCAATAGTATATATGCAATGGTAAAGTGTCAGTCAACTGCCTGTCTGTCCGTAGATAAATTTTTACATGTATTCTTGTGGAGGCCTTTTTTCTGTCCATCCATTCAACTTTTTTATTACCAGTTAACTGGTGAATCCCAATTTTGTTGTTATCGATACGTATCATGGTAATTTTTTGTGAATACCGGTTTGGGTTTGATATTCTATAAAATGTTGCAGAAAGAGTTACTTGCCCTTTTTCAAGTGAAATATGGCAGCAAATGATTTAAAATTGATAAGAAATGAAAGAGAACAGCTGATACATGAAACCACTTAAATTAAAATTGTATATGACTATTGCAACAAAATTAATAAAAATTTCTGTGGGACAACAACTCAGTTAGCCACATGCACCAACACCACATGGCCAGGCATTGTTGATATCCACTTGAAGACATATGATATTCATACAAGAAATATGGTAGCAAAAAGAATATCAATTTTATATTGTGATGTATTGCAATACAAAATTTAATATTGCAATATACTGTGATACAATTTTTCTGTCGCAATACTGAGCACTACCAGTGATGCATCATGGGGGAAAGTATTATCTACCGGTAAACCTACAGTGACATACTTTGGGAATTTTATTGCTGACATGGTCAGATTGTGTTTGGATCATATGTTGCACAGTGTGAGACCTATAAGTATGAAGCCCATGGTATATGTCATAGCCTAAAAGTAGGTCAGTGTGACCTCATTTTGAAATTCTCTAGTTATACTTAGTCAAATTGTGTCCTGTTCATATCTTGCACAGTGTGAGCTCGAGAATCGTCAAACCTTGTCAGTTGATGTATCTTCTGGCATGATGTATCATGGGCTCCAAAGTAATTTATGTCATGATGAGTTATATTTCTGACAGGCATATCATGTGACTTTGAGATGGACTTGATTCTAAATTTTTCTGCTTCTGCAGCCTTGATTTAATTTTAATAAAACAATATAACACACAAGTACAATATCTAGTCACATTATTCCTAAAGTTTTGGTCAGTAAACAGGCTTAGAAACTCCCTAAAATTACAACTCGCAAATTATTGCGAGTACCAAGAAAGTGAACTCGCAATTTTATGAGACTACTAGCAATTTTCATATAAAGTTAAATTTATATAAACTAAATACATATAATTTAATTTTGTTTGTATTCTAGCCTCTGATTGGTTAATATCCAAAAAGGAACACAAATTATTTCTGTATAACCTGGTTTGGTATGGGGACACACCCCCTTGACAACCAGCTGAATCATCTGTTTCCATACAATCCTCTCATTTCCAGTCCTCGGGATTCATGGAAAATTCCAGATTTAATAAATGTACCTTTAATTTCAAACGATAATTCGATCTTACCACATGTAACCAAACAACATGGCTGCTAGGCCTATGTATCAGTTTTTACCTCCCCTCGATTCCCATCACTTCCGTTACTACGGTTGTATTATTGAGCGGCAAATTTGAACTAATAAAAAGTAACGAAATTTTACACCCATAGTTATTTAATGATTTTAAAATTAAATTATAAGGAATGACTCTAATCCTTGGCCAAATTATTCGAGTATAACCAGGTTTGGGTCAGTTTACGCTGTTTTATAATCCGCTTCGCGGATTATAAAGCGTAAACTGACCCAAACCAGGTTATACTCGAATAATTTGGCCAAGAATTAGAGTCATTCCTAAAGTAACTTAAGGAAAAAGTAACTACTGTATAATACACAAAATACAACTACAGTGATTTTTATTTAAATTACTGATTTAAATCAAAAGCATTGTGTTCTGTCATATTATATAATTTTGCTACGGTTTCAATGCAAAAAAATCAACTCGCAAGTTTTTGCGAGTTACCTATGTTTTAACTCGCAATTTGGGAAATCTAACTCGCATTTTGCGAGTTGTATATAGTGAATTTCGAACCCTGAGTAAAAACTAAATCTCCATCAATTTTGATATACAAGTTGATACATGTATTGATGCAATTAGTGATTGAAATATGATAATCCATTAAATGATTTAAAAATCTCTTCCTGTCATTTTAGCCTGGTTTTCGGTTTATATTAAGAAAAAATCAGATTACATAATCAGTAAATATAAAAATCCAAAAGGAAAGTGTAGCTTTTCTTTTAGACTTCTGTTAATTAAACTAGCCCATACTAAGACTGTAGACCAGAGGAATGCAATGAAGGGCAGTTGATCATGAAGTTTTCCCTGAGGCCAAGTCAGTTTTTGAGTGGATACGTCACTACACTCAATCATAAGCCAATTTATTAAATATTTGTGTTGACATCACAATATTTTTGATGAAGTTTTCCCATTGTTTTTTTTTTTAAAAAAAAAAAAAACAAACAAACAAACAAACAAAAAAAAACAAATTATTTGAATTTAAAAGAATCTTGAATCCAAATTGAATGCATTTTGTTTTTATTCGTAGTAAATTACATATGATATCAGGTTGTTATGTTGTAGCATCTGTTGTGAAAAAGGTTATTAAATATTTTTTTCCTTGCATGGTCACAGAATGTTGGACTCCATAATATCTGTCATTCTTGTACATAATGTAATGTGAAGATATATATAAAAGTGAAGAGAGATGAAATTTATTGGCAGGATTCGTCCATATTTAGAATGTTTTGGTGAAACCGATATTGCCCTCTGGGCTTACATTGGTTGGGAGTAATACTGTGTTAATCCGATCGATTGGCATGATTAATAATTAACAGGATCTGTGTATTTACTATAAAAAGGTCACCTGTAGCCTGCATACTTTTGTTAAGTCTTATCCTGAAGATAATGTTCCTAAATTAATTGCTAAAGCAAGCATTTTCTTGTGTTTAGATTTTACATCTTTCAACACAAACAAAAAATATTTGATAGAGTTTTTTTAACTGATAGATATAGAATATGCATTTGCCCTGGCATTTAAAAAGAGAGTAGTTGAATTTATCAGATAAAGTGATCTTTTACTGTTGTTCTAGATTGTCTCTCCCTTCAGTTGTACATCATTTATTCTTATTTTCAATCTCCAGTGGAACTCAGAGAGGGGGAGGGGGAGGGACTGCTTATACAATCTGTTGTCATTATGCTTTTTCCAGGGTAGGAAGTGATTATTGGGATCAATGGATACTTTATACAGCCAAAAGCTAGGGATGCCTCAAATTATTTATCTGCTGTTGTCTGTACAGTCTAGAAAGAAAACTATACCATGCATATGTACAAACCCTCTATAAGTGTATTATATAATAATGTGAATACAGAGTATGTTTGATTTATGAAGGTATATTGGAGATATAGAGGTTAGAGGTTCTAGTAATTAGATATATTTTCATGTCGTGTATATTTATTTATGTTTTTTTGACACCTCATCTTACAAAGGTAACCCGGTCTGCTAGAAAACAACAAATGATTCAGGGAAGAAACAAGATTCCAAGTAAACTAATATTTTGAAGTCTAAATTAGGAAGGGGATACCATACATGTAAGCCCTGCTGTTTTATTATTGGATCACAGCATAATTTTTTTTTAAATTTAAAAGCTTCACATAACATTTATTTAAACGTCCGAAGTCAACGAAGCATACACAAACATATATACAGGTAACTGCTCCTAGGGCTATTTCTTCAGACTATCACAGAGAGAATTCATTATAAGGTGATTTTAATGCTCAAATATTGACGTGATTATAGATAAACTCATCCATCTGAATAAGGATTGTATATTGAAGACATAAAAATTAGTCATCTTGACTTTTTGAAGTTGTCTACAAAACATTTTTCATCTCTTTTAAATAATTGTTCTTAAAATATCTTTTTTTACATTTTGACAGGTTTTCATGTTGTCCAAATATACTTAATGCAGTCTTGAACACTGAAAATAATGCAAATGTCAATTAGCATGTTTAAAACTTCACAGTGGGAGCAATTGAATCTAGAGTAAATGCAGTATGTCAATAGGGAAACCTGGTCTGTATGTTAATGCATACAAATGATAAGCCATATCAAATCTACTGGTTGGGTCAATTCTATGCATTTTGTAAATGGCCATTTAATCTTAAGATTACCATAAATGCAGTGCACCTTTAGTCAAAGTCATTCACCCTATGTGTACAAGTAATTGGGGCTTTATGAGGACGTATTACGCAGTTACTGGCAAAGAAAAATGAATCAGACAGAAGAAAAAAAAGTTACTCATTATGCTGAAGATCAGCAACAGGAAGTCAGAATGTTAGCAGGAAGTCGACATCCTGCTGGACGCCCCGATAATACATGTATTGTATACACAAGCTTTGTCAACACAATTTACATGCACACATGTATGTAGTTCTTAGAATTAAATGGCAGAAAATGGAAATATCAACTGTCATGAGTTCAGACTGTTATGAAAAAATTTAGTTCCCAGTTAATTTTTCTTTGTAAATACTCCATTGGTTTTTATTTGATGTCAGATGCTACCTCATGGCAATTTGATGTATCATACGTTGAGTTATTGATGGGCAAAATTAGGCTTTGATATATCTTCTTCTAAATACTAGTACCAACTCATTTTACACAGTTTGCAAAGT